CCTCTGATCTACTATTCTATTCCCCTGGGAGTCTTCGATGCCAACATTTTGAATCCCATGATTCTCTTTCCATCCCAGTTCTTTTGTCTTCATGTACATCAAATCATAACGGCCTGTTCTTTGAAATTCCATAATCTCATTACATATCTTCTCAAGATATTCCTTTTTGGCCCTGTCCGTGGCTCTTTTCAATTCATTCCTCAGTCTCCTGTATTTCCTCCTGCCTTCTTCATTGTTGACATTCTTCCATTTTCTTCGCTCCTCCATTTTACTCATCATCTCCTGTGTAACCCACGGTTTTCTTGCTATCTTCTCAACTTTACCTACCAAATCACTGATAGTATCTAACATGCATTTATGAATCATACTGATTTATAATAAAGCCTGTAAGACCATAAAAGGACTCTTTCATGGATGCCATAACCATTGCAGGCTAGTGAAATTTAACATATGAGACCTCCACAAATAGCTATCAAGACAACCTTCCCCATGTGTTCAAAAGTGTTTCCCACATTTTGCTGAAATTCAATAGGGGAGGCTTCCACCAAGAGTTACAAGGTAATTCAAATTTGAAGTCATATTAATTCATAATAAAGCATAATTTACATAAGGCCATAAATGGACCCATAAACTGTTTTGCAGATTTTGTTGAAATTCAATATTCTCTCTCAATGAGAGAGAGAGCGAGCGCAAGTGCCTATCCTCCATCTCTCAAGTTTCAGATCAACTGAAAATTTTTCACAAACTCAGGCAGTCTGCTAATGGAGACCATGCCATCCTCATGCTTTTGGTTTTCTTACCAACATAGCCAAGTACTTACCCTGTGGACAAGTGGACATTGCCACCAGCAAATCCATATCTGCTATGAACTCAATGTAGTCCCCCTTTCTTGCAGGGCTTGCTTTTGTAAAGTATTGGTGTGTATCCTGAAATCATCCATTAAGATCTTTAAGAGATACATTATTCAGTATGAAATAAGTCTGTTTTCCACAGAATTTTTTTTTTGTCTGAGGTGATTCTCAAACCATAACTTAAAAATTACATGCATAAAATGGACAAGAACAGGCCAGTTTTTGTGCTTTTTTAAAAGAGATAATAAATGTTGTAGTTCATCTGTAGTGCAGTTCTGGTTATTGAGAGGAATGTTTCTACTTCTCTTTCTGCTGATTTGTCAAATAATGATCTCACTGATCCACATGAGCCCAATGATTGTTGAGTTAATTATCTCAAAAACTGTAACACAGAAAAAAGTGTATTGTGGATAGATTGTGTGCTTTAATTTTTCTCTACAATTTTTATTCAAACATATTTTGCTCCAAGAAATATTTTTTAAGTTATACTAAATATGCATATAGAAAGGCATATAGGCGTTCATGAAATGGTTTATTAATGTTGTCTGGTTTTACAGACTGGAATGGTATGACTGCCTGATATCAAATTTCAGAATATCCATTCACCAACTGTCAAGCTGTTAAACATGGACAGACATAGCAAACCTAACAGATGGAATTATGCAAATTTTCGTTATGAATGCTCGAACATAACTAACTAAATAACTAAGTCCATAAAGTAGGCCGCGCCATAGCTCAAATGGTTAGTTGCTGGCTTCTCACCACGGCGGCCCGGGTTCGATCCTGGGTCTGGTCAAGTGCGATTTGTGGTGGACAAAGTGGCAGGGCAGGTTTTCTCAAGAGTACTTCGGTTTCCCCAGCCAATCTTCATTCCACCAATTGCTCCACAATCGCCCTCACCTATCATTTGGGGCTTGTACAATAGGCCAGAAGTGGCTGCAGTACAAGGGACTTAGTCCCACCCAATTAGCAATAAAAAAAGAAGTCCATAAAGTAGAATTGTTCATGAGAAGATGGAAGTTGCTGGGATAGTTGAGAAATCCCGCACCTTTTATGTAATATGAAGATTAATTTCAATGTTCATAAGGATATAGCATGTACTGTTTTGTACACGGATGACACAACAATTTTAATTACCTCAAATGACCTAAACTCTTTGAATATTAAATTAAATAGAGTTATGACTAGGGTTTCAAGCTGGTTTCAAAATAAGAATCTGATACTTAATTTGAGTAAAACTCACCTGATTAAATTTGTGACTCCTAAAGTCTCCAGAGTATATATTATTGGTAACATACAATAATTTTAGACTTAAAGATGTTGATAATGTTAATTTTTTAGGTATGTATTTAGATTGTCAACTTAATTGGAAAAGACAATCTGAAAAATTATTAAAGAAACTGAATACAGCATATTTTATGCTCAGGAAGTTACAATCCCTCGTCAGTGAACAGGCTCTTCAAATAGTCTTATTTTTCTTATTATCAGTCTCAGCTTGAATACAGTATTATATTCTGGGGTTCTTCTCCAGTTATAAAAGGTTTATTTGTTGCCCAAAAAAGAGCGATTAGGGTTATGCTGAGACTGAGTCCTGGAAACTCGTGTAGAGAAGATTTTAAGCGGTTTGGTATTTTGACGGTTCCTAGCCTATATATTTATTCTACATTGATGTCTGTTGTTAGAAATCAATTTTTTTTTCAAGCCAACAATAATATTCGTCATAGTTTGGAAAGCTACATGTGTCATCGGTGAGATTATCTTCAATCCAGAGAGGCGTGTTATATTCATCCATTATGGTTTATAATAATCTTCCTCAAAATATACAAAGGATGAGTGATAATGTGAAGATTTTTAAACAACACTGAAGAGTTTCCTCACAACAAATGCTTTTTATTCAATAGATGAATTATTTCTGCTAAGCATGTATAACATTTAATAACTATATTCCTTGTAATTTTGTTTGTGAATGACAATGTAAATTATGGTTATTTGGTGCTTGTGGTTGTTTGCTGTTGACACGATTGTAGTTCTGCAATCAAGTCTTATTTGACGAGTTCAGTATCCGGTCCAATTCGGACAGCGGATCAGTGAATTTATGAATTATGTATATATGTATTCTGAGCCAGACAAATCCAGTTCATACCCTCCCACTCCATTTTTAAGGATCAATTTTATATTATCCTCCCATCAATGCCTAATTCTTCAAAGTGCTATTTTCTCTTCAGAGTTTCTGACCAAAATTTTCCATTCATTTCTCAACTCTCATGTGCTACAAGTCTGGTCAATCTCCATTTCACTTGATTTTATCATTCTAGGATATTTGGTAAAGAGTAGAAATTATGAAGTTCTTCATTATGGAATTTTGTTCAGTTTTCTATAATTTCCTCTCTCTTAGGCACAATATTCTCTTCACTGTTTTCTCAAACACCTTCATGATGTGAAAGATGAAGTATCACACCCATACAAAACAACATGTAAAATTATATAATTTATTTCATGCAATATATTTCCATCTACAATGCAACTTATGTTGTAGATGGAAATATATTGTATGAAATAAATGATTCATTAAACTACAGTGTTAACTGCCTCTCATTTTCTGTGATTTTATGGTCCTGAGTCCTCTGTGGCCTGGCTGCTTTGATCTGACCTCAGCTCAATTTCTACTAATATATGTATAGTATCACCAACCACACACATCTGATCTAACCTTGGTAAAGCCAGTACACATGAATATGTTCCACACATCATGAACATCCTGCTCAGTGAGGCCATGTTTCTTCACTGCTTCAGTAAGGTATGTGTGACATGAGCCAGATCTCTCCTTGCCAGTGATGAGTTTATATGTATAATCATCACATCGAGTTCCTATAACAGAACAAGATAATGCGTGTAAATAATACAGAATCATGTTACAACAGTAAATGAAAAGTGAATGTGCTCTCTGGAATATTGAGACCACAAAAAGATCCATATTTAGCAAAGATTAAAAGTTATGTGACTGAATACTCACATATTGTGTTTGAATAAACTGATCACATACCAATAACATCATGAACACTAGCTCCATCTTCATCTATCCCATAATTCTTTAAGGAATCTGCAACTATTGTTGCCATGGGTCTGAGGTAGGGCAAGTTACTCCATAGTCGATCATACACTGTCAGGTGAGTTGCATGAAGCTGTCTCGTTTTCCCTTTGAGGAGAAAATAACATCAAGTAACCTATTCTTGTTAATAGTGTAATGTATATGATAATTTTACAATACTGTATCAGTGGTTGAGTGTAGCATGAAATGAGGTATAATAATATTTATCCTAAATGAGGTAAAAATAAGTATTCATGGTTGATTTTTGGGCATTTTGAGGCTACTATCTACCCTTCTACCCTCAATATGGAGGCAGCACTTTCCTCTTGACATGATGGTAACAATTACCAGACTAAATGCTATTACATTTCTGAAGATCGTGATTTTAATGGTCATCATGCGAACCTCAAATCTTAATAAAGTACTGATTCCATCATTTTCAGAAATAAAATCCAATATGGAGGGCATGTCAATACTTTAAAAGTATGGAAATGAAAGAGTTCAAGATTTCATATACTCATACTCATAACATTTGATTATTTCCTACTTTGTGTACATACATTCTGCTCTTAGAACTTTAAATTAAACACGTATTCCCTTTAGCTGTGTAATAAGGAAAGTGGGTTAGCACAGAAATATAAATATTACTGAGAACAGACTGTAACAGCTCCAACATACCACTATTTAATGTCAACATAAATTTCACACTCAACACATGTTCCAAACTAATTACAAATATAAAGACATATTAACTCACCAGAGTAAAACCTCTCTTGTTTATTTTTCAGATTCCAAAAATTAACATCTCCAACCTGCAAATGAATTATTTAAATTTACTGAGCAAAACTATTCAACAGATTTAATGAAATTTTATATAGGATGCCTGCACTAAAATTTGTTAGGAAGATTTCATTTTGGTGTGTATTAGTTTGTTATATCCCCATCATTGAGGACAAATTATATAAAATTCCTCAAAATGGCTCACTGTATAAAAATGTGTACATAACAAGATAAATATCTCATTAAGACCTACAGCTTTTATTTAAAATATTTGTGGCATGCAGACCTGTCGCTAGGCAATGACTGAAATAAGCAGCTATACAACAGCTGCTGGTATGTAAAGGCTCTGTAAACAATGGTTGTTGCTAGGTACTGGCCGTAATAGACATGCAAGCAACAGCAGAACTGTTAGAAGCAATTTTTTCTGTGTCCTCTGTGCCCAAGCTGTATAACGAAGCAGCCGCGATTATGGGAGAGTCTTGAGATGGCAGTGAGAAGAGTAGGAGGTTGGTGTGAGATGGCCATCAGCCTGGGAGTTAGTTGGAGCAATGAGGGAGTTATGAGACCGTCGTCAGCTAGAATGGAAGTCATCACAGAAACAGGAATTTACAGTGCTGGAAGCCATTACCAGATGACAACCGGTAAAGATACAGCAGACTGAGAAGACTTTGTATGTACTGTAGTAAATTGAAGAGTGTGTAAATTAGCAATAGTGCTATAGTTACTTGTAGTTACAATATGTAAGCATTCCATAACTCCAATTACCAATCCAAACCCTGTCTGTAGTCATTCATACAAGTGACAATATGATATATATTTAACGAGAAAGAAGGTAAAAGCTATCCCTGTAATAGGTCATGAAGGCCCATAGAGTTGTGAGACATTGAGGCTCCCACATTTTCTCTAAACAATTGGCTCACAGATGACAGTAAGGTTGTCAGCCTTATGTGCCAGCAGCCCTTCACCCCCCAGGAAGATTCATGGTACTCATTTCTGTTAGAGGCTGAGTCAACCCCAGGGTCATAATGCAGCTGGAAGGATTAGGTAACTTGAAAAAATACACCTCATTGGGACTTGAACCTGTGACTTTCCAGCTTGTAGCATAGTGCCTCAACAAAATACACTATTGCATGCCCCATATATTTAATTAAATTTGAGGAAAAAATCTGTATGAAATATTTTATCTGTGTTGCTAGCTGACTTCATCTTTTTGTTCTTCATTTCATCATGCAAAAGCAATCAAGCCTGTTCAAGCCTTACTGATTCTTTTTTTTCTTTTTGAGGTCTGTGAAGTATGTATATATATATATAAAGTAAAGCTATCCCTGTACCAGGCCGTGAAGGCCCATAGGGTTGTGAGACATTGAGGGTCCCACATTATCTACACAATCGGCTCAAAGATAGCAGTAAGGTTGTCAGCGTTACGCGTGGGCTGCACTTTACTCCCCAGGAAAAATATTTAATTAATTCCTGGTACTCCTTTCTGTTAGAGGCTGAGTCGACCCCAGGGCCATAGTGCGGCTGGAAGGATTAGGTAAAAAAAAATCCAGTGACCTCATCGGGACTTGAACCCCGACCTTCTGGCTTGTAGCATAGCCCCTCAACCAACTACACTACCGCATGCCCCATATATATAAAGTCTACATCATTGAGGCTCCTACAACACAGACCAACTAACACCTTAAATACACTCCCCCCTCTTCCTTAAATCTTATAAAAAATTACATAAATTATTGAAGCTACTTGAGTTTAACCTTCCACATATATCATCTTATTCACAAATATTACTGTTTTTATTGATGAAAAATAAATATAAAAAATGGATCCGTTTTAACTGACAAGTCAATGACTGATATGTATTCAAGGACCTCTGCAGATTGAAATATATAGTGGGATGTAGGAAATAAAACTAATATTTTAACCTTGATCAGTTGTGTTGATGGCTGCTGAAAATCCCTTTGATAAATTTGTATCTGCAGTAAATGAAGATCAAGATCCTACTGCAAAGAACACATTTCAAGACATGCCTTTTCAGTTTTATTACCTATACATTATGTATGCAAAATAATTTTAATGTGTACTGATTATATTATAGCTAGTTTCCAGTTACATAAAACTTGATTTTCTAAACTTTTTTACCCTACTTGCCAAGATTGTGGAGTTTCTGGGATGGTGTGAATTGCAATGATTACATGTCCTAATTCTGAAGAATCCTACCTGTGAACCTTCAGTGACAGTTATCCTGCAAAGATCCCCTTCTTTCATTTCCCATGTTGCTGCAGATTTCTTGGGCACAGTAAGTTCCTGAATTCTTTTTCCCATCAAGGCTTTTAGGCGGAGATCATCATAGTGAATACAGCTGACTTTGGCAGCTGGTGGAGAGTCATAGCAGATAACAGGTGGACATTTGACAAATACGCGTGGTCGGTCACCTCGCCCACACCATCCCCCAGATGACATGCTCTTACATGTACTAAAGGTAAAAATGTAAACCATGTAAAATGAGTAGGGGTTATAATCATACCAAGGATTTGATTTCTGACACACTCTACTTCTGCACAAAAGTCTCTCTTGTGTGATTCTAGTTCTCTCTTTCATAAGTTGCGAGTATTTCAAACCCAGTTCTAAGGAAAATATTTCTGCTTATGAGGGCTGATATAAGGAGGGAAGGGGGGAAGTTACATAATAAGGAGGCCGCTCCATAGCTCAAGTGGTTAGTTGCTGGCTTCCCACCATGGTGGCCCGGGTTCGATCCTGGGTCTGGTTAAGTGAGATTTGTGGTGGACAAAGTGGTGCTGGGGCAGGTTTTCTTCGAGTACTTCGGTTCCCCCTGCCAATCTTCATTCCACCAATTGCTCCACAATCACCCTCACCTATCATCTGGGGCTGGTACAATAGGTCAGAAGTGGCTGCAGTACAAGGGACTTAGTCCCACCCCACTAGCAATAAAAAATAATAATAATACATAATAAGGAACTCTGTAACGTTTACAGAAAATTTATACAGGGAGGATTTTTACTTTGTTGACCTGTTCCATGGCTCTTCATAGTGCCAGAGCACTGCTTGCCACAAGGCGCATATGAATTTTGCCAATGAAGCAGCATTCCTGACAGCCAATATTGTTTGTAATGAAGTAGTTACAATTCACGGATCACAAAAAATGTTGAAAATGCTGTCCCTCTACATGCAGATATCTTTCGCAAAATTGTTTTGTTAAGAGAAACAGGTACAATACTTATTACACTTACAGCACACCAGACACCAACTTTCATTGGCTGGAGCAGGACTTTGTGGTTTAGATATGGATTTTATGAACTCTAGTAGTGATTATTTTGTGTGTTTGTGAAAGCATACTTCATCAGTAAAGAATGTCAGTCATGGATTGGTCTCAGCTTCAATGACAGACTGCAGAAACCAACTGCTAAAATTAAACCTGCTAGATTGATCGCATGGCTGCAAGGCATGTGTGGCCCAAGGGTAGTTAGAAGAGTAACTGGACTAGAGACTGTCCGCATGTTATATTATGCTCATTTCCAATCTTTGTTATCATACGGACTGATATTTTGGGGCAACTCGGTAAATGCAAAACTGATCTTTAAATTACAGAAGAGAGCTATAAGAGCTATGGCCCAGGTCCCAAGAACGACTAGTTGTAAACAAATTTTCAAATCATTACATATATTACCTCTACCATCTTTGTACATATACGAAACTCTAATATACATAAAATCCAATTCAAATAATTTCACAACCAACTCAGAATTACACTCATACAACACAAGGAAAAAAGATGATTTGCACATCGTCCCATGTAATACAAGTCTATGCAAGAAAAACTTTAACAATGTAGGACTTCGGCTGCTAAATCATCTGCCACGATATATCAAAGAAATACCGGTACTATATAAGTTCAAAAACGCTTTGAAAATTTACCTACTCGATCATTGTTTTTATAAAGTGGATGAGTTTCTCTCATGTGAGACAAACACTAATCAATTATAATCACATAATTCATGAATAATCGGTTTTGGGAATCCCTACTGCGCAGTTTTCCTTTCTTTCTTCCAGCAACCAACCAAGATAACACTGTCGGAGATGGGCTATTCTGGAGAGATTGCAGATGCCAAGAAGCTGCACCAGGAATGGAGAACAGATGTAATGAGATGTTGCAGTGTAGAGTCTACAGTGAAATGTTATACCAGTGCTATCACCAAATTCACCCATATTATCTCAAAGGCCGCGCCATAGCTTAAGCGGTTAGTCGCTGGCTTCCCACCGCTGCGGTTTAATCAAGTGGGATTTGTGATGGACAAAGTGGCGCTGGGGCAGGTTCTCCCCGAATACTTCGGTTTCCCCTGCCAATCCTCATTCCATCAGATTTTCCATAAGCATTATCACCAGTACAGGTACAATAGGACATATGGAAGCCGACGTGCTGAGGGGACCTAATATGGATTCCACCTCACACTATATGAAATTTTAACTATTTTAATCTACTGTAATCTATTGTAAACAATTGTAGGTATTGTAACTTTATTCTCTTATTGTAAACAGCCAATGTACAGTAACTGACGTGTCCTATATCATGTAACAATGATCTATAGAGACGAAATAAATAAATAGATTACTGTTGTTTTATTGTGTCTAAGCTTCAGGAATTGTGTTGCCCTTCTTGCATTAGACTTTCACGCCAGTCTCTTGAGGTAGATGTTTCAGTGATTTTCTAGGTGTATGTTCAAGTCTGGCTCCTATGTCATCTAACTTCTCAGTAAGTACTTGGCACTCATGTTTTTGCTTCTTGTTTATTAAGAGCCCTGTTGTTCTAAGTTTATTCACCAAATTGTGAATTGTTTGCCTGCTGGGGACTCTTTTATCATGAAAGTTACATTGAAATTTTCACCAACACTTTCTAGCGGATCCATATTTCACATAGGTGTCATACAGAAATACACGTTCCTCTAAAGTATACCGCACCATAACATACCACACTGTTCACTAACTGTAGCTGAGAACAAAATGACTACTAGAAATGATAAATGTTGCCTACTGCTGACAAATCATAAACAAATTCCCACACATGTACCGCACTACTTGCCTTGAAACATAATGCCATCAAGTGGTTCACACGTAATTACTTCCCTTCATTCCAAATGTTAATGGCCAACAGGCATGCTGATTCATCAGCAAAATTCTTATGTGCCTCGCAGCAAGTGTTGCCCTGGTTGCCATGAAGCGCAGAACCGTGGAACTGGTCAACGAAGTTAAAAAGCTCTCTGTAGTGTTAGGGCAATGAATTGGAAGAAACTGAATGGACTGGAAATGTAGCTCAGTTGTAGGAGATGGCAAATACATACACAGTATTTTAAATGACCATTTTTAAGACTTAAAAGGAAGTGGGAAGATAATTTTATGATGGACCTCAGGGAAATAAATTACAATATATGGGTGAATGGGATGTGTCCAATGGCAGTCTTTTGACATTATGGGCACTGAATCTTCTGATTCTGTTACCAGACAGATCTTACTGTTTGCAGGCATTTAAATTACTTGATATTTTCAATTTTATGTATTTGCTATTACATTACAACATTCTTGATTTGGTTTCATGGCGCGCATGTGTGTGTGTGTGTGTGTGTGTGTGTGTGTGTGTGTATATATATATAAGGTCGCGGGTTCAAGTGGCGATGAGGTCATTGGATTTTTTTTTCAATTGACGTAATCCTTCCAGCCGCAATATGGCCCTGTGGTCGACTCTGCCTCTAACAGAAAGGAGCACCAGGAATTAATTATATAATTTTCCTGGGGAGTAAAGCGCGGCCGGCACGTAAGGCTGACAACCTTACCGCCATCTTTGAGCCGATTGTCTAGATAATGTGGGACCCTCAACGTCTCACAATCCTATGGGCCTTCACGGCCTGGTACAGGGATTGCTTTACTTTTTTTTTTTTTTTACTTTCATATATACTACCACAGTCAATAAGTTCGTGGAATGGCAGCAAAGCTTCGTACCGGAATTTACTGCCAGTATGTTTCCGCAATGTTTTCGACAGCTATATCAACATTGGCAGACTTGCATAGCAGCCTACGGCAACTATTTTGAGGGCCCATGTGGATCTGCGTAAGTGTATGTGAATATCTTGCAATATGATGCGATTAAACCACATTCCACGAACTTAATGACTCTACCACGTATATATAATCCATTTAATTATTACAATAATACTCTGTACAGTATATGTGACATTAGTAATGACGAAACTTTAAGTTCTGATACCAAAAATTTAATTAATCGAGCGCTATACGAGTAGTATTACGCTAGAACTTTATTCTTTCTTTCTCAGCAGTGTTGATAACATGCCATGACTGGCATTAAAATCCCACTTAGGGGATGAATTTGTCCTGCACGGCAGTTCAACGTTACCACGAGTTAACACATACAAAAAGAAAGTAAAAATGATGAAACTAGAATGTGCCCACAGGCTGTAGCACAGATATTTAAAGTAAACCGTGGAACTTATTACAGCACAGGAAATCGTGAGGTGATGTGGAAGCGTGGCTCCGTACATGGGCAGACATTCCAGACTACAAAACGCTACAGTCAAGGAAAGTTGCGGGTAAAAATGAATTCCCTGAAATTAATATTTAGGCAAATATATACATGACCGAAGCCTGAAACGCCGCAGCACACTCGGTTCAGTTTCACTCCACTCAAAATAACGTAACTTACTTGTTTACTCGTACACCGGTATCTCTGGGTCGCAGAGTGATTTACTCAACGTTGCTCCTGCCTGCCTCTACGACCAACAGCAATATACTGCTTATTCATTGCAGCATCTCTTATATAAGCAAAATCTGCGGCCACAATGACGCACGTGTTTGTAATGTCATTCCTAACCGTCTGATCATCTTATCATCTGAAGGATCTGAAGCGACTACACATCGCCTAGTCAGGTATGATGACCATGGAATGATTTAGTTTCGTAGATTGTCTGACAATGATGTATGAACTGAAGAGGTTATGTAAATATCCTGTGCTAAAGAACACGACTTGAAGGGAATGATGATATGTCTCCACGTATTCTTTACTAGGCTGTAATGTAGGCTAGCTTATTATGTACGTAACTCCTCTTCCTAGCCACTTAAACCGTAGGGACTCATCGATACCCAGTGGCGGGCTCTGGAACTGGTCTGGACGTGATGATCCTGCCTGGAATGAAACACACGTCGTTCAGCTTGTAAATTATTCGTAGTACCGCATTTAGTGGATGCCTGTTCCCGCTGTCGCCAACTTTAATCTTAATTCAACGGATGGCTGGGCAAGCCGGAGGGCACTGCATCCATAACAAATCAGGCTGAGGAAGTCTATTCAGAAAGTTTCAAAAATGTGAATTCTTTTTATTTCTTATCATACTGTTATTCAGCAGTATCGTTATTGTTGCTGTTTTAAAGATTAAAATGAAAAACCTGAGATATTAGACCAAATAGAGAGCTCGAACCCGGGTCTGGTGAAGTGGGATTTGTGGTGGACAAAGTGGCGCTGGGGTAGGTTTTCTCCCGGTACTTCGGCTTCCCCCGCCAATCTTCATTCCACCAATTGCCCCACAATCACCCTCATCTATCATCTGTGGGCTGGTACAATAGGCCAGAAGTGGCCGCAGTACCAAGTGGACCCAGTCCCACCCCACTAAGGGAAAAAGAGAGGAGGGTGGGGGGGAATGAATGATGCAAGAGAACCGTTGGAAACTCTGGATTTTAGTACTCTGTAAGTTGATGTTTACTTTTCTACGTATATCTTATGTGTTGAGAACTTTTCACACATTGGAATATTCCCAGTGAGCTTTAAAAAACAAATTGGACTACGGTATCTGTACTGCAAATATACGAGTATAAACTACGGTTATTATTGTTTTCTTGATTTATTTCGATATTTCCTGCCATGAAACACGAAGATTTTTTTGTGCTTGGTGCTACTTCTTTAGCTTGGGTGTACACTGCAAAAGTTAATGGACTTAGAACGGAGAACGAAAGGTTTGTTCGTTTTCGGTACGTTTCGCTTGCAGTTCGGTGCATCAAAGAAATTTCGTGCACAGTGTGGACGGCAAAGTTAAAAACGTTTGTCTTACATTTCTATTCACATGCGTTCTTCTCGTTCAAGCTTTCGAAAAACACATGTTCTGGGGGGNGGGGGGGAGCAACTAGACGAACGAGGATGACTGGACGGATCGTGTAGCAGGTGTAGAAGGACAAGAAATGCATTCAAAATTTTAGTCTGAAGATTTTAACTGAAGAGATCATTTGCAAGAGTTAGGCATAAATAAGAAAAGGTAATGCTATCCCTGTAACAGGCCGTGAAGGCCCGTAGGGCTGTGAGACATCGAGGCTCCCACATTTTCTCTAGACAGTCAGCTCACAGATGGCGGTGAAGTTGTCAGCCTTTTGACGCAATTTGCATTTAACATTTTCTCGTTGAGACGTCAACGGGCTTTATGATGCTATGTATGGTGAAATAAAAAATGTAAGAGTAATCTGACACCTTATACGCTACACGTTTAAGTAAACACCGAACTTCTTTGATGATTATAATTCATACGAGAAGCAATTACTTTGATATTTTTCTGTACAAGAATTGTTTCTTAATCTACATATTTATCCGTTCTTGCCTTTGAATAGGCTATACTTTCTTTTCATAACTTCATTATATTCCGACATCTTACACTGGTAATAAAGCTTGTAGATAGCCTTTCCCTAATTCACCGCCTCCCCCCCCCCAGAATGCACGGAGGGATATGGAGGAAACATTTTACTCATTCTGTACCTTGGAACTTTTGCTTTTGGAATGGTACTCAGAGGATAGAAAGCGAAAAATATTGAACCCCTCTGGAAATATGAGCCCCACTCCCGCAGATATTCTGAGTTCCATTCAGAACAGTGGACAAGTTGTAAAGCGGCTCTGTAGAACAGTTTTACTCTAGTTTTGAAGCTTTCCAGAATTAATTTTTAGATATATTATTCTGAGGCCAAGACGAAATTGATGGACATCTTTCATCTTCCACAAGCAAGGCGTTGCAGGGTTACACCCTAGTGCCTCTTTTAACATTGGGGCGCCACCCTTTCATTTCTCTTAAAGATGCTGATATGAAAAAGAAAGTTGTTATAAATAAGTAAAAGTAAAGCTATCCCTGTAATAGGCCAAGAAGGCCCAAAGGGTTGTGAGACGTTGAGGCTCCCACATTATCTAGACAATCGGCTCAAACATAGCTTGTTTAATTTCCTTCCTACGAGGTGGAAGCGTCAGCCCCTTGAATATGAACTGTGTGTCGTTCAGTTCTGCATTTAAAAGTGTAAACCTGTCATCAGTCTGGGGTACCCATGAAACTAGTTAAGCTGATTAAATCTATTGTGAGATAATACAGACACCATAAGGAAAAACACAGAAACTGTAATTGACGTTAGTAAGGAGGTTTGTGTAGCAGTGAACGCGGAGAAAATTAAGTTATATGTTAAGTTAAGTATATGTTGCTGCCCCGTCACCAGAATGCACGGTAAGATTATAACATGATCACAGTTCAGGTATTTGGGAACGACAGTAACAATTGAAAATTTTATTCAGGGGGAAATTAAGAACATATTGAATTTGGGTAATACTTGCTACCCTTCAGTCCAGAACCTTCTGTATTCTCCTTTGCCGTCTTAAAGACGTACAAAATTAGAATATATAAAGTAAAATTTTGCCTGTAGTTTCGTATGGATGTGAAACTTGGTCTCTGACATTAAGGGAGGAACACAGACTGAGGGTGTTTGAGAACAGGGTGCTGAGGAGAATATCTGAACCAAAGATGGATGAAGTTGGAGGAAACCGTATAATGAGGAGCTTCATAACTTGTACTTCTCGCCAAGTATAATTAGAGTGTCAAGGAGGATGCGATGGGCACGGCATGTAGCACACACGGGGAAAAGAGGAATTTGTACAGGATTTTGGTGGGAAAGCCAGAAAGAAAGAGATCATTAGGAAGACCTAGACATTGGTGGGAGGATGATATTAAAATGGATCTTAGAGAGATAGGATGGGGTGGTATGGAGTGGGTTAATTTGGATAAGAACAGGGATCAGTGAAGGGATCTTGTGAACACGGTAATGAGCCTTCGGCTTAAATAAATTCTGGGAAAGTCTTGAGTAGCTGTGCAACTGGTGGCTTCTCAAGAAAGGCTCATCTCTATGGCGTTAAGTTAGTTAAAGCTATCGTTAAGTGACAAGAAGGCCCTCGTACAATAAGTTATATCCATTTCTTTCGACCTGAAACTCCGTACCGGGGCGCCCTGACACTTATTTTTAGGGCACCATTCCTGCCAGTAACTCTCAAGATTTGTTCATAGCCTTTCCGAGAGACACTTCACGGTGCAATCCAGTGCCAAAAGATTCCTCAGAGTCAAATTTCTTTACTTTGAAAGGCCAAGCGATCTGTGGCGCTTGGATATCTTTGTTTAAATTAGTGAATCCCATTTACATATTCTCTGCATGATGGACAGAATAGAAAATAAATATTGCACAAACAAATCTACATTGAGATGTTATACACACATATGCAGACCTGTAAATATTATTGCAAGGTAGAAAAAGTAGCAAATAGTTGATAACAAGGTACGACTGTTTGACGTTGACGCAATAAATCTGCTTGTAGGAATTTCTACTCAGAATTCTTTCAGTGAAGAAGTCCAAATACTGTGTTTGAATGAAACTACTGAATATTTGCTGCATAGGGAAGGTGATAAAATCATCTTCCGCAAGCCTATTGTGGGCAGGTTTGCTGAAATGTAGTGGGTTATATAGCATAGTAGTACTAGCGTGCATAGAAATCACCGAGGTAATGTAGAAGCAAAATTAACTACTTACTTACTTATGGAACTGAGCCCTTCTTGAGATGTACGTGTACAGTACACTAACATATGAGCCTAACTGAATATTATTCCTCAATTATAAATTTGCATTATCCATTACGACATGAATAACAAGATTTGTAGGATTGGAAATATGGAACAGGAAATTTCGTTTCATGAGTTCTGCTCGGAAAAATTTCCTGTCGTCACAGACTACTAAGATTATCCGTAGGGTTCGATCCCGGGTCTGGTCAAGTGGGATTTATGGCGGCCAAAGTGGCGCTGGGGCAGGTTTTCTCCGAGTACTTCGGTTTCCCCTGCCAATCTTCATTCCACCAATTGCTCCTCAGTCACCCTCACATGTCATCTGGGGCTGGTACAATAGGCCAGAAGTGGCCGCAGTGCAAGGGACTTAGTCCCACCGCAGTAACAATTAAAAAATAAAGATTATCCGTCATTCGTGTTTAAATTTAAATTTTAGGAGCCGAGCCCTTCTGGAGGAGCCGCCAATTCTGCAGCTACTCAAGAATTTCCCAGCATTTTATGGAACCCGAAGGTTCATTACCGTGTTCACAAGAGTTCTCCACAGGTTCCTATCCTGAGCCAGATCAATCACATCCTTACCATCCCATCCTATCTCTCTAAGATCCATTTAATATTGTCCACCCACCTACGCCCTGGTCTTCCCAGTGGTCTCTTTCCTTCTGGCTTTCCCACCTCATCCTCCTTGACTTGATCATTCTAATTATACTTGGAGAAGAGTACTGGTTAAGAAGCTCCTCATTATGCAGTTTTCTCCAATCTCCTGTCAATCTCATCCCCCAATCTGGAGGATCACCCCTTGTTGGCTGTCCGCAACTGCTTATTCAGTATATTCGCAGCTTCCCTCTAAAACTGGAGGACGTCTCCTCTATCCGCAACCAGAGGACACGCCATGCCGCGGTGACAGGGGACTCACCTAACATGGGTCATTCGTGTTTGGAGTTTCAAAATTATGTGGGCACATTTGGCGCCAGTTCCGATGCTGTGTCAATTCTATGATAGCTCCTTCACCTTCGGTT